AAGCATGTGGGGTAGCCTTGTTTATAACTCTCATAAGAACTAATACAGTCACTTGAGACCTGCAATTATAATTTCCAAAGGTGGTGCCTCCATGACCTAGTTATCGCCCACTATGTCCCAACATACTGGAGATCAAGCAGATGAACCCTTTGGGGAACAAACTCAAACTATATCCAAACCATAGCATTCCCATATGGTGTTTCAGTTTGTTTATGGATTGGGTACGTGAGGTGTTGAGAACTGAGCACAGATCTCCTGTCTTGAGTGGGCACCTGACAGGCCCCTTTTGCCTGGATGACATTTTGTGGACTGGGATGTAAAGGCATCTCTCAAGCTGCAGTTGCTTCTTTTCTAGGATGTCCCCTGGAATTAGCCATTGCTGAACTTGGTAACTGAAATGTCTGCCGTGTTGTTTTGACATGAACTGCTGGTAGCCAGGTTTCTTTCCTCCTACCTCCCCGCCACATTTGCCTTTTCAGACTCATGCTGGGGTTCTGAGGTCATTTAGAATCCTGATTGTCAGTCTAGACATTTACTATATCTCTTCTCTGTTCACTTTTTCCATAAACCCAAACTTCTCTAATTTCTAGACTTTCATTTACAGATGGAAAAGTATGGAGTCGAACCTAGGAAAATGATCCATAATCACTTGTCGCTGGCCTAAGTCATCTGCCAATTCCACAGCTACTTCCCAGCCCCCAGAGACCACAGGCTTCCAGGTGCTGACTTCAACTCACACTTGCCATGTTCCTTCATTTGGCAGTGGCTGGGCAGTCTCAGTGGGCAGAGTATAGAAAGTAGGTCAGCAGCCTTCCTTTCCCTTGTATTTTTTTCTTTCCAGTTTCCTTTTCACCGTCTGATGTCAAGAACCCTGGCAGTATTGGTTCACTGCTCTCTTGTGTTTCCTGAATTGAGAATGGATTAGTTGTTATAATAAATAATAATAATCCTGGGCATTTCTGTTACAATATGCCTTTCAGTGAACTTTCACATTTATTATCCTGTTTCATCTAAAAAGCAGGCATGGAAGCTCAGAGGGACTAGCCCACAGTCAAGAAAAAGTCAATAGTGAGGTGAGGGTTTGAACCCTCTTTAATTCTCCATTCAGATCTTAGTGGTTGGAAGAAGCAGGCAATGGGATTCTTTGGCATTTCTGAACAAGTCAGAAGAGAGAAGCAAGATGAAATCCCAAGAGATGGCCTGGGGAGGTAACAACAGGACACCTGGCCTGGTCTCTCCAGGTCCCTTAATAATTGAAAGCAACAGCACAGTTGTGACATTTGGTTCTGGGATTAAAGTTTCTTGAGAGAAAACTCAATTTCTGAAGCTGTCATCTACCTTGAACAATGAAAAAAAATCTCTGAATCTATACCAGGTTCTCCCCTCCTCACTCCCCTTTCCAATCTAACTAAAAAAAAAATGTGGGTGGGTTGAAAAAAGAACAGAAAAGAAAGATCAAAACTGTGACAACCCTCTGACAACATTTTAACTTGAAAATTGCCTCCAAATGGATGGCATAATTCTGTGTAGGCAGATGTAAATCAGGCACAGATTTACTCAAAACCTCCTCATTCTTATTTCCTAACCAATAACTTGAAGAGACAGGGCCACAGAGCTGACCGCAGGTGGCCTTGGAAAGGCCAACTTAACCTGGTCCCCTTGGTGAAGGCCACCTGAATGTCCAGTGGATGTAACCTTTTCCTTTTCTGAACTTTCAAACTTGTGTCCCCTTCATGTTCCTCACCAAACCACATCTTGCTTATTTTCCTAAGTCAGTTTTTGGCTCCTTCTGCATACCCCTATCCCAAGGCTTAGCATGAATCAGCAGGTGCTCATTAGGTGGTTGGGAAAGGAACTTACAGAAGACAATCAGGGAACCAGGCTCAGGCCTTAATCAGCCCTCTGTAGGGCTTTTCTGATCATTAAGTGTTGGTCCAGATAGCTAATTCTGCAGAATCTCTCCAAAACGTCAAAGACACTTGTTTGGACAAGGCAAAGAAATGTGGATGGTTCCATTCAAGTCCTTCTCTCTAGCAGAAAAAAAAAAAAAAATCCCTTCCTCAGAGGACTTTGGGTCAGATGTGCCTGTTACCTGCCCAGCCTCAAGCTCACTCCCCTACCTGGCCTCTCTGCACCAGACCCTCTCTAAGACTGATAGTGGGAGGGTAGAGCCGGCTGAGCTGAACTTCCTTCTCTGGAGAAAGAAAGAGGGGAGCCAGAGCATCTAAAAAAGTACTTCCCACACCTAGGCTTTAATTTCTGTGTCCGTCCCTCTCCTTTGAGTCTGTGTGAGTCATTCAACGTCCTCCTGTACCCTCCCCTGGCTCTGCAGCCTGACAGGGGCTATCTTCAAGAGTGATAGTTATTGCTAATGATGAGTGACAGCAGCAGGGAGGGCCACCTGCACAGAAAAGGGACCGGTGTAGAGAGGAGGAAGAGTTGGTGACCTTACAACTTTATAGAGCAGATCAGGGCCAGGAAGGGGAACCTCTCACCTCACAGCACACTGGGTCTCCCCAAGTTCTGTCACCTCTAAGGTAACCTCCTATCAGCAGAGGGTGGCAGCACTCATCCAGCTGGGAGCTCAGGGACAGGGACCCACTAAGCTAAGAGCTATAGCAGTGGCTTGGCCAGAGGACTCCACAGTATGACAGGACAGGAGTGGCATTCTCTGCAGGTTGCTATCCTGACCTATGTTTCTGTGGCTCCAGGAACAGTTCAGGCTGCAGTCTAATTCTCTGAGCAGTTGCCTTCCAAGAGCCTCTGGCTTCTTGTGTCCCCACTATAGTTGAAAAGAAGGCCAGCTTCCCATTTCTGCTTTACCAATCCAGCGGGCATCAGCAGCTCATTCCCTGGAGGCCCCTCATCTCTGTCCTGCTATGGTTGATCATTCCATGGTTATCCAATGTGGCTCAACTCAGCTGCCCAAGAAAGGAGGGACCTTGATTCAAACGGATGAGGAAGGGCTTCAGGAGGTGGTTAATGAAGGAGCTGAAGAGGGGCTCCAGAGAGCCTGTCTCAGTGGGGCCAAGACATAGCCTGATCAGGCCTCTGTTCTCAGGCCTCCCTGTGACCCTGACCACACCTGCCCAAGAGAGGGATTGGGGCCACAAAGGATATGGATCTCTGATAAGGTCTGCATGCTTAGGATGGGCCTGAATGGAGCATTTTGTCCACTTAAAGCTCTTTGGGAACAGCAAGGAGAGGGCAGAGGGCCTTGAGCAGAGCCGCAGGGCCCTTGTAGGCTAGCCCAGTATAGCATGGGTAAGAGCAGATCTGCATCTGTACCCCATGGGCTGGACATCTGCTTGTGTCCTTTATCCATCTTTATGCTTCTCCCATGCTGCTGCTGTGGGCACTCCTGTTGAGCTGTTGGTGTGTATGCACGCCTGTATCCTCTCTAGGATCAAAGGAATGGCGCATGCACTAAAGGTCTGCTCACAGTAGGAGCCCGTGCAGCCTGGGTGTGGAGATGGGACACTGAGCCCTTTGGGAACCTGAGGAGGCCTGAGCTTTGGAGTTGGGCTGAGCAGGCCCTGAGAGGACTTGAGGCATACCTATATCAGAAGCCTTTTCTAAGCCCTGACCCTCCTCACCCAAAGCCTGTATCTGTGTAGCCCAGCACCCCAGTTCCCAAGAGACCTCTTTCTTCCCTGCTTTTGTGGTTCTCTTTCTGGCCTGTTGTGGACAGGAGTGGACTCCACATTGATATCAGTGCTTCTTAACCCTAGCTGTCCATAAGATTCCCCCAGGGAAAAACTGTGCTTGCATCCCCCTGGACCCTCCAATCCAGAGTCTCTGGCAATGGGCTCAAGCTTTGGTACTGCTTAGAGCTTCCTACATGGTTTGTACAGCCACTCAAAGAGGATCTTTGATAGAACAGTGAAAGATAGCTAAAAAACTTGGGCTGGGGTTGTGGCTCAGTGGCAGAGTGCTTGCCTAGCATGTGTGAGGCGCTGGGTTCAATTCTCAACACCATGTATCAATAAATAAAATAAAGATCCACTGACAACTAAAAAATATTTTAAAAAGCTTATGTATGCATTGATGTTGTAAAAGTATACAGACAGACACAGGAAGCAAGGTAATAATATCAGGAAGGGTCAGATCCATCGACTGTAGTTATAACGTTCCATTTCTTAAGCAGAGTGGTGGGGACATATTATTTCAGGCTTTTTGGTTTCATTGAAATAGTTCATCATCAATTAATGAAAAAAAAAAAAGATCATGGGTTTTAAGTTCAGTTTTGCCACTTACTAGCTATGTGACCTCTGGCAAGAACTCGACCTGAGATTGTTAATCATCTGTCAAATGGGGCTCCTAATATTACCCATGAAGTTCTAACACTTCTTTCCTGAGTCCCAGCCTCAGTGAGGTCAAACTGGCCCTCAGAGCTCTTCAGGAAACAATCACAGCTCCCTGCCAACCACAGACAGACTTGATGATTAGAGGAGGACAGCATTGCCCCTTCAGGCAGGGAGCCCCAGAAGCCAGCCTGGGAGTCAGACCTTAGGGTTTCCTTAGGAGAAGGCAATTTAGTTGTAGCCAGATCTGTTCTATTCAGATACTCTGTGGCCTCTCAGCTGAGGAGTGGAGCAGGGGTTGGGAGTCGGGGACATGGCTCTGAGAAGATAACAGAGATTTTCCTCCCAGGGTGTTAGGACGTTAACAAGGAAGGGAGAAACCAGGTCCCTCACCATGAATGCCTAGGGCTGGAGGGGTCATTGACCCTAGGAAAGAAGCAGTTGGGCAAAGAGACCCTCCTCCTACACTGCCTGCAGGGAATGAGGAGGACTTTTACAGGAATGCAAGTCTGGGAGCCCCTATGGACATTTAGATTCTGGGGCAATCCGGCACTCTGTCACTTGGGAGGCCCTGAGGGCAGGCTGTGTATCTTCTGTCTGTCTGCACGTACACACACTCTCTCTCGCACATAATCACCACACCCATATGTGTTTACCAGGCCTGGCTATGGAGTGGGGAAAGGAACTCAGACACCATTTTCATTGGACAAGCTTAAAACACAATGTGGCTCATTTTTATTTTATCTCAGAAAACAAAAACAAAAACAAAAACTTCCCTTTAGAAGTAAAGGCAGTTAGACAGGGCCTCTAATTGGGCAGCTCTGAGCTGCCCAGGCACAGGTCCTTAGCCTGCAAGCCCTGACCTCTCCCCTAGGGCCTGAGTCTATGCCCTGGCACTGTTCCCATTACAACTGTCTGTCCTCCAGCCCACCTTTGTCACCTCAAGAGTTGGCCCTGGGACTAAGTGCATGGCAGTTTGTGGCAGCAGGGGAGGGCTGCCCAACTCCCTGGGCAAACTCCTGGTGCCAGGTTAGCAGCAGGATGGACAACAGGCCTAGAAGCCAGGGAGGGAAAGATAATAAAATAGGATTTCCTTGCACGAGATCTTCTGCGGGGGTGGGGGGGGGAGTCAACTTCCACCTCTGGTCCAGCAGCTCCCGGAGCCCTAGAACGTCTGCCAAGGGTGGTGTGTGGCAGGAGGTCTGTTGAAGGCATTCCCCAGCCTCAGGTCACAGCTTCTCTGCAGACAAATTGGGGCTTTTAGATACTTCATGGAGTGGGGGACTGGGCCCTGCCCAGCCAAGATGCTGTTGGTGCTGTGGCCCTGGCCTCGGACAGGGCCTGACAGCATGAAACATCTGCTTCCTTGGACCCTCACCCCTTTTTGCTGGGACTCATGCTGCTCCAGCTTGGGGCTCCCTCCTCTCAGTCCAAAGTGAATCAGACGCCCGATGGGTCTCCCAGCACACTCATTCTTCTCTTCTCCCAATGTGACTGGTCCAGCCAACCAGAAAGATTAAGATTTCCTTCTCTCAGGAAGGGGCAAACTCCATGCACCATCAGGACACTCCTGCTCCACCCTGGGCCAGGGGGTCCTCTAGGCCAGGGGACTCTGGGCATGCTCCCTTGTGCTCACGGCTAAGGAGCTCCACGTCTGCGAGGCTGGTATCCCCGTGGAACCCTTTGGCATTCCCTCCACTCACCAGCCCCAAGGCATAACCATTGGGCCGCCGCTCAGGATGGGGTGCGCTGCCATTTGCCCACACCCCTGGGGGGTGGCCATTGAGGCGGAGGCTAACCTGCTCTCCCTCTGTGCTATGAGCTGCCAAGGCCCGGGCACTGGAGCCCCCTGCCTTGAAGGGTTCCCGCTGCCTCAAGACATGGCTGCGAATGATCTTGCGGAAGGTCTGGCGGAACTCGCGGATGCGGTAGGCATAGATGAAAGGATTAACAACAGAATTACTGTGGGAGAGGACAATAGCCAGGTACATAAGCCAGGGAGGGGCATGGCTGCATTGGGGGCAGAAAAAGGTAAAGCAGTTGATAATGTGCAGGGGCAGCCAGCAGAGGGCGAAGAGACCCACAATGATGGCCAGTGACTTGGCAGCATGAACTTCCTTCTGCAGTGTGGACCGAGCCCGCTCCCCTGGCAGGGGCTGACTCTCCATCTGCTTCAGCTGTCGCCGGGCCGCCAGGAAGATTCGCAAGTAGATGCCCAGCATGAGCAGCAGGGGCACCAGCACAAAAGCGAAGAAGTTGTAGTATACCATGTAGTTCATGGGCACCACATCCTCAAAGAGACAGGTCACCTGGCCCTCGCCGCAGTCCTGAGAGTGATTCTTGCCCTCCTTTGGCTGATTGCAGTTGTTCCAGCCCAGCATGGGCGTCAGGCCGATTACAAATGACAGCACCCAGCAGATTGCAATGATGCCCTTGGCCCTCATGCCAGTCACCAAGCCATTGTACCTGGAGAAAGGAGACCAGGGTCAGAGGTCTGAGAAACCAGGGCTAGATAGGGCTAAGAGTCAAGAAACCCAGAAAGGCACCCTGCTTGGTCTCCCACTCCACTGCTTTCTGGCCAGCTGTAAGGCCTTGGACCAATTGCTTCCTGCCTCCTAGTCTTAGTATCCTCTTCTGTTAAGTGAGATCCATTGGGTCTTGCTTTTTGTGAGCTGCTAGGAGGTCATGAAAGAGCAGACACAGTGGAAACAGAAACCACTGTATAAAAGTTCATGATTATTAGTCTTAGGCATAATTCTGAGACTTAAATTGAGTTTGGTTTGAGGAAATTAATAAGTGATTTGTGGGGGAGGGGAAGAAGCAGCACTTCCATATTGGTTGATCTTGGTTCAAGGGGCGACACACTTCCCTTTCGAGTGAGATGGGTCTAGAAGGTGGGCTCATTGAGGGCAGAACCAGCCAGACGAGGCCTGAAGATGATCTAAGCATCTTGTACTCCATTGTTCTTTCTTTACCATTTGACTTGGGTCTCCAGAGGCCCCCCACATGAGACTGCCCAAGATAGTTGGGAAGAATGGGGGTCTCAAGGCAAATGAGACACCATCTCCCATCCAAATCCACCTATCACCCTCTGGAGAGAAATGAGATAGTGTCTTCACATTTACATGGCAATCTTAATATCCTGGAGGAAATATGTGTATGAAGTACTGAGGTCCAGAGAAGGACAGTAATCTCTGTAAAGTTACTCAGTGTTCCTAAGAGCCAGACAGATATCCAAGCCTGCTAATTCCCAGTCCCAGAATCGGGGAATGGCTTGATTTACTGCCAGGAAAGAGATCCCTATCCCACAGGAAAGGTAGCAGCAATTTACCTATCAAATGTGTACTCAAAATTTAAAAAAAATCCTCACTGATTGAGAAAGGCAATCTTAGTGACCTCTGAGGGTTGACCTTCTGCTTAGCAATTTTGATTCTGGCAAAACCAAACAACCCTCCCCTCCCCTCTGTCTGGTGGAAGCCCTATCCATCAAGTTCAGACTAGGTATCTTCTCCAAGAAGCTTCCTGCCTCATCTGGGCTTCCAAAGCTGGGATACCCCTGGAGACAGTGCTGTCCTGCATCCTGATCTGTATTGCCTCTCTGGCATGGGAGCACAGAGTAGATGCCAAGGAAAATATGCTCTATTTAATTCCAGAGTTGGAAACATATGCAGAAAGGTTGTAGCTCATGGGGGGCAAACATAGGTGCCTCTTGATAATAAACCATCAAGGCAGGCAGGTGGGCATTTACACTGTCTCTGCTGCCATATAAAATGTGTTAGAAGGCTTGCCTGGCATGTGGGAGGCCTTGGATTCAATCTCCAGCACAATAACAACATGTGCACCCAGTGTGGTCAGAGCTGAAGAGGGACAGGAAAGCTGATACTCTGGGCAGATGCTCCCAACTTTTAATTTTTGCTAAATTCAAATTAAGAAAAATCAAAACCCAAAAATTAGTGGCTTCTGATCTCTTATCTAGTCCAATTTCCTTATTTCACAGGTGGGGAAACTGAGTTCCAAAGAAGGGAATGGATTTGCCCTAGACATTGCAGAGGCCCAGAGACAACTCAGGCCCAAGTTTGTTTGTCAGTTATGAATGTTTTATGGCAATTCTCCTTTTTTAAAAATATTTATTCATAATACCTTTATTTCACTCATTTATTTTTTATGTGGTGCTGAGGATCGAACCCAGGGTCCCGCGCGTGCAAGACGAACGCTCTACTGCTGAGCCACAACCCCAGCCCCTATGGCAATTCTCTTATTCTGTACTTTTGGAGGTGCTGGGAATTGAATCCAGGATCCTGTGTATGCAGACAAGTGCTCTACTGCTAAGCTACCCCCTCCCCCAGCCCTGTCCATTCAGAATCCAAAACAGGCGTGCCAACAGGCCTCTGCAGGATTAGGGTCACGGATTTGATCATTTCTGCCAAGCAACAGAGCCGGCACTCCTTGTCTCCTGTTCCGGAAACTCATACACAAAAGTTATATACCCCCCAACTAATACTCACATAGCACTTCCTCTGTGCCAGGCTCTGTACTTTACATTACTACTTCATACAACCTCACTGAATGGGAGGCTACATTAATGACGATATTGTTCCTGAGAGAAGTGCATCTCTCCCTGGGTTCTAGCCTTGGTACTTTCCTGTAAATAAGCAATGTTGTGTCACTTTGCCTTTCTGAGCCTCAGTTTCCTCATTTGTGAAATAGAACTACAAATCTGGACTTGTTCAGCACTGCCTCCATAAGGGCAGAATGCTGAATCAGTGAGTGGAAAATCCAAGAAGGCCAACTGTAGCTTGGGGTAGGTCCAAGCCTGTGAGCTGAGCCGTTCATAGGAGAAATGGGCTGCCTTGGGCAGTAATGAGCTTCTTGTCATTTGAGGCACTCAAATAGACACAAGCTATTATAGGGATTGTGTAGGATCTCCTAGACCCTGGTGGCCACTTGCTCTAATGGTTTTTCAAGCTCTTCTCCAGCAGTGGACCTTCATATCTACATTTCTGGGCACTTAGGGGAGTGGAATTGCTGGGGAAGAGAGGGGCTTTATAAGTATTTATTGAATTAATTAATGGGGATATCAGGGCTGAGCCTGAGAGCTCTTGAGAACACAGCATGGAAATCCTTGGTCTATCCAGTTGCGTACTTTTACAGATAAGGGAACCCACAAGGGTTCTTCCACTGCTCTCTGAAAGAAAGCCCCTTGTGGGGACAGAAACAAAACAGGTATGAGTGGTACTCGTAGGTGAAGAATGTCTCTGGAAGGATACTCACCAAGGCCTTCTGGGAAGGGTTCTTAGGTGTCAGAGAGCAAGGGGACAACACTTCACTATATACTTCTTATTTTTAATGTTTGAGCACATGCAAAGATTATTTATTTTTAAAAAAAACGCACACCAAATAGGGCTGGGGTGGTAGCTCAGTGCTACAGAATATGATTAACATAGGTAAGGTCCTAGGATGGGCCCCTGGCACTACCAAAACAAAAACCAAACAACCAACAACAAAAATCCACAACACCAAATAGATTAATTTTGTTGCCCAAAAGTACGCCCCATAAGCTAAGTCCTGGAGCCAGGCATCTGGGGGCCTGGGACAGGATGAGGGTTCATATGGAATCATGAATGCTCTATGGTCATGCCCAACAGCATCCCCTGGGCTGCATCTGTAACTAACACAGTCATATCTCAGCCTTCTGGACCCCAGATATAAACTGTTCAGCTGCCCAGTACAATATACAGCCATTCCAGGAAGCCCACAAGAGTCATAGGATGCAGGTGCCAGAGACACTGGCAGCCCTCATTTTCAGGTGCCCTCTGCATTCCTGTGTCTACCAGCTTGTAGGATGCCCCTCCTGGGGATCATGATTACCCATGTTAGGGGCTTACCCTTTAATCTAGGAACATACTCCATGATTCCAGGTGGAGTTTTATGCACATTTGCACCACATTGAGAAGGTGGATCTTTCTTAAGGTATCCAAAGGGGTCAGTGATTCAAGAATTGAAGAGCCTTTGACTCCAGGGGAAACCCAAACTCCTTCTCTAGGCATGAACAGGCCCGAATCAGCCTCACACCTTGCCTTCCCCCTCAGCTCATCTCCTTCCATCACTCAGCATCAAGGTCATCTCTTCCTGGTCCAGAGTCCACATGCTTATTCATTCCTTAGGGTCTCTGACCAGGCTTTGCCCTCCTCCTGATACACCTACCCCCAAACACATGCATTGAGCCCCAAGCATCCTACAAAACCCACTGGGCAACACTTCTTCTGGGGAACCCTCCCTCCCAATCCTGCCTCTTTATTATTATTCTGTGTATGGTGCTAGGGATCTTGCACATTCTAAGCATGTGCTCTGCCACTGAGCTACACCCACAACCCTCTTGCCCCTTTCGAAGTCAGGGCAACTCACTACTATAGGACTTTAGGCCTTGGCATCAATCCCCAACCTGCATTTTGGCCTGTTCCTCAGGAGTGAGAGTACCTACCAAGAGACTATAGTGTAAAAGTCCCATGAGAAAGGAAACCTGCATCTTTGACCCTGGGATTTCTATCCTTTGTGGACACTGAGAGCTGTACTTCTACCTCATGCTGAGCTTCTTTCTCACTGACTAGGCCCTGCCTTACCCCAAAAGTGTCTCTACAATTAGGAGATAATTTGTTCTGAAGCTGAATGTTTTGGAGGGTGGAGGTATACTATGGATTGGACCAGGGGTGCTGAACCATTGAGCCACATCCTCAGCCCTTTTATTATATTTTATTAGAGACAGGGTCTCACTGAGTTGCTTATGGCCTCGCTAAGTTGCTGAGACTGGCTTTGAACTTGTGATCCTTCTGCCTCAGCCTCCTGAGCTGCTGGGATTACAGGCGTGAACCACTTTACCTGGCTAAAACTGAATTCTTTAAAACAAAAAAAATGCCAGCTACTTGGGAAATTGAGGCTAGCCTGGATAACTTAGTGAGATACTATCTTTTTATATATTTATTTTATTCATTTATTTTATGTGGTGCTGAGGTTTAAATCCAGGGCCTCACAGGTTCTAGGCAAGTGCTCTACCACTGAGCCACAACCCAGCCCATGAAATACTATCTTAAAGTACAAAATGAAGAGGAGGGCTGGGGATGCAGCTCAGAGGTAGAGTACCCCTAGATTTAATCCTCAGGGCAGGGTGTGGGCCTGAGGCTAGGTATCTGTCAGGGACTAGACCTCAGAGAAGCCCTGTGAACCTTGCTGAGTGGAGCAGCAAATGGCCTAGACAAGGCTGGATTCCCAGCTGTGAAGGCAACAAAAGAGGAAGGGGGAGACTAAGTCAGGCGGTCCCTCCAGGACCAGCCAAGAGCTCCTGGTATTCAGTTGCCTCCATCCAGTTTCCCCTCATATCCTGTTTGCTCTCAGAAGCCATTAGCCCTCCATGCACCCAGTGGCCAGGGGCCTCCAAGAATAGGAAAGTGAAGGGACCCAAGGGCCAGGATCAGTGTGATGTCCTTCCACATCAGAAGACGCACATATGTCTTTCCCTGGCTCTGGCCTCACCATGAGTAATGTGAAGGTCGTAACTTCCACCCAGCCACAATGCTGGGCTGAAAAGGAATAAAGGAGATGCTCTGACAGTGGTCAAACTCTGCCCCGGGAAAGGATGACATCATCATCATCCCCACTGACTCCCTGCAGAGGAGAACCAGCCTGAGCCTTCTAAACACTCAGATGGTTTTTAATCCAACCGAGCACATATGGTCTGAGGTAGGGGTGAAACTGAAATCCAGCTCTAGGAGGTCCTGGGAGTCAGGGAAGCTGACTGGACTGGAGCAGATGCAGGGCTCCAAACCTCCAGCAGCTCAAGAAAGAGCTGAATCCCTTGTCACTTCCACCGACCCACTGGACCCCTGCACCTTTGTCCCCTATTACAGATGAGGAAACAGGCCCAGAGGAAGGCATCTGACTTTCCAAACCACATGGTATGTTCCATCCTACTATTTCTTTTGACTCTCAGAAAATAGAGATGGGAAGAAAGACACCAAGGTGGGAAAAACCCTAAGGTTTTTAAATTGAGAACAGCCCTCCTGATCTCTCCCTGGAATGTTGTTGCCCTCTGAATCAGAGAAGAAACTGAAAGCTAGTCTACTGCTTCACCTTAGCACTCATGCTACCACTGCCTGCATGCAGCCTGGCTCCCTGAGGTGGACTCTCTTTTCTGGCTCACTTGGTACCCACAAACAGGTTTCTCTGGGGCTTCCCTATTCTGAGCTCTCCTTAGACAGCTGCCCTTCCCCCTGGAAGAAGGGATAGGAGCTTATCCCACAGACTGTGCCTACAGTCAGATCCCCTCTAACTCAATTCCCTTTTTAAGGTGGGCCAGGATCCTCTTCTCCTTTGAAAAGTCCTTTGACAAGGGCCTTAGAGTTCCACTCCTTCTTTTGGGCAGCCTGATATGGGTGCTTTCTTCCCTCTTAGGGCTCAAGTTACAGCAGTGGCTACTGGGTACAGCTTCTGGGAGACTGAGCTGCCTGTGACCACTCCCCAAAGACATGTCACAGTAGTGGCAGGCTATGTTTTTTTCCCAGGCTTAGTCTTAGTTCTGCTACCAACTTTTTGTGTGGTCCGTTTTCAGAGCCTCATTTTTCCATTCAGATGAAGAGAGGAAGGAAATGACCTTTAAGGGTCCTCTTGGGTTTGACACTCTGAATTTCCATTTGTTCACTGAGCCTGTTCATCCTCCCTGCTGGGGTACCCTCAGCCCAGAATAGGGAAACGGGGGCTTCCTCAGTTGGTGGGCACTCTACCCGTTTGGGAGATTTTACCACGGGGACAAGTGTACACAGATTCCCAATCATGGAGACCTCCCTCAGGTCCTGCAGCCACCCTGGCTATGGAACCCAGCTCTATGGTGGAGGAGCAAGAAGGTGGAGGAAGAGGACCCTGGGTTCCCCAGAGGAGGGACACACATTCTTGGTCTCTATGCTCTAGGTAGGTGAAGTCTACACAAGTAAACTCAGCCTGGGGGGAAGTCTTCGTTTACACAATACTTTGCTGAAGTCACTTTGCAAAAGATTCACCATAAAAATCCCCCTCCCACAGCCAGCCCCTGAGTGCATGAGAGTCCTTGGTGACCTGAAGAGCAACATAATTTGCATATAAGTCCAAATGACTCACTGTGGCATTCAGCCAAGTCACTTCCCCTCTCTGGGTCATTCTCCTAATATGCACACTGTGAGGCCAGCCAAGAAGAACTGAGGAAAGGCAATCAGTGGGCGGGTCCTAGCTGAGGTTCTATGGTTTTCCATGGTTCCCCACCCACTCTAGCATCATGCAGGGAGTTTTTCTCTGTTCTGTGAAGAATGGCCCAGGCGTAGCCGAGTGTGGTGCAGGTCCAAGCCACACTCATCTGCCAGCAGCCAAACATGGCTGGCTGCACACAGCCTCAACCATGGGGGGAAAGCCAGATTGGCATACTGGCTGCTCACCCACCAGCCCTGGGCAGCCACAGGCTAAGGCCATAGCCCAGACACTGGGCAGAGCCAGTCTTTGTACAGACAAACCCCTGGTCCCCAGCTCACCGAAGTGGGATGCGAATGGCGATGTAGCGGTCAATGGCAATGGCCAGGAGGCTGAAGATAGAGCTCTGTGTGAGGACCAGGAGGAAGCAGGCGAAGAAGAGGCAGCCATGGCAAGCAGCGCAGAACCCAGTGCTGATGGTGATGGCAAATGGGATGGCGAGTACACCAACTGCGATGTCAGCTGCCGCCAGCGATACCACAAAGAAGTTGGTGACGTTCTGCAGGTTGCTGTTGATCCACACGGCCCAGCAGACCAGCACGTTGCCCAGGACAGCCAGCATAGCAATGGCCAGCTCCACTGTGATGTATACTGAGGAGCCCATGGTGGGAGCGGCTGCAGACGGGCAGGCTCAGCAAGGACACGGGCTGGGCCAGCTCACGGTCCATAGCTGCAGCCCAGCCGTCTGCCGCCCAGGCAGAAGGGCCTAGGCCCCAGAGCCTCTTCCTTACAGGATCCAAGAGCGTCCCTGTGGTGGGGTGGTGCTCTCCAAAGGTTTTCTCACAGATAACTCCAAGTCTTCTCACACCAGGCCCTCTCCAGGGGCTCCAACAGCTGTGTCATGGCTCAATTCGGCTCCAGGGTTCCCAAAGTACCTGCAAAGAAAGTCTGGTAAGCAGCTGGACCACTCTGACCCCTGCTGTTTCAGATTCTGCTCCACCAGTGGGCAAGGTGTCAGCACAAGAATGACCCCCATGCCCTGTCCAGCCAGCTATGATCACAGGCAGGAGGCAGGAGAGTTGGGATTCTGGCCTCCATTTCTGGGAAGGATACAGATCCAGAAAGGTCACTGAGCAAAACTACTTTTCCTTGGTCCTGGGAAATTCTTGCCAGGACCCTCATGCAAACCCCTCCCAGAGAAGCATTCTCTTCTCTAAGACTCTGCAGGACAGACACAGAAGGGAAGAACCATAGCTGCACCCCCTGCCAGGACTCTGGCTCACCCCTCTGTACTATCCAAGGCTGCATTTCAGGTGCTGAGGTCATGGCTCTTCCAGGCCGGACTCAGGGTTAAAGATCAGTCCACTTTTTTTTTTTTTTGTATTTCCCCCCCCCCCCCGCCCCAGGAGCTAAGAATCTATCAAAAAGTTAAGTCTCTAATGTTGCTCCCTATGCTCAGCTTCTCAAGCCTTCTCTGGCAGCCTGGCCAGTCTCCTGGGTCTCTGCACTCACTGCCAGCTCCACAACCCTCCCTCTTTCCCAGAAAGATCCTTCTCCCGCACTGGGCTCTCTCAAGCCCACCCACCCTCTCTCGCAGGACTGACTTTTCAGCCTGCCTCAGCTGGCTCCATCTCTAGCAAGCTCTCCAGGGAACTACCAGTGCCCACCTAAGGGATACCAGCTGCCCCATCGAGGGACAGAGACTCCTGGAGTTCAGAGCTGGAGGGATCTGAGGAGCTGTCTGGTCCTATCTTCTACTGTCGGCAGTTAAGCCCCTGCACCCTCATAGGTAGCACAGCAAGCACAAACCTGAACCTGCTGCCTCCTGGTGTCCCTGAGAGCAGGCTGCACATCTGGGTGGGGCAGGTGCTGAGGCTGCTTCCCTTCTCTGAGGGATCCGCCTCCCTTTTCTCCTCCCACACTCCCCCGCCCCACCTGCTTCTCTGCCTGACTGACACAGGGAATGACAGACTTAAATCACTCCTGCTGGGGGACCATAGGCAAGAATGTGTTTTTCTCCAAGCATGGTGGTTGCACACCTGTAATCCCAGCCGCTCCTACAAGGATGAGGCAGGAGAATCCCAAGTTCAAAACCAGCCTCGGCAACCAGTGAGAGACCCTGTCTCAAAAAATAAAAAAGAGGTCTGGGGCTGCAGCTCAGTTTCAGAGCGCTTGCCTAACATGTGTGAGGCACTGGGTTCAATTCTCCATACCACATAAAAAATAAATGAATAAAATAAAGGTTCATCAACATCTAAAAAAAATTTAAAATAAAATAAAAAAGAGGTGGGGATATTGCTCAGTGATTAAGCATCATTCAGTTTAATCACTGGTACCAGAAAAAAAAAAAAAAAAAGAATGGTTTTCCTTTCTGGGCCTCAGGCTCCCCACTCATATAGTGAAGCAGTTGGACCCCAGATGACCTCTAGATGCCACTGCAGCTCTTGCCCAGGAATCTATCAGAAGGAAATAAACAAGATTTGAAAGTGCTCCCCCAAAGTCAAAATGTCATAGAAACATAGGAGTAGTTGACATCCCTAGAGAGTCAACGTCTTGGTCTCCCTAGCAAGCCTGAGCCCAGTCCAAACTCCAGCTGTTCCTCCCTGACCTTGTGAAGTAGTCTCAGTCCAAGTGGACCTCTGCCCACTAAAATGACTCTCTCTGAGAGCGATAGGCTCCCAAATTTACTTCCTTCAGTCCTAAATTCTCTCCCAGGGGTGCATAGCAGCAGCTACCATCTGCCTGGGACAAGAGGCCAGAGACTGCCTTTTGGCTTCCTGCACATGGTCCATCTTCCCTCATTTCCTCAAGGATATGAGGGATTGAACAGGTCTCGAGACCCTGGAAAAAGGTCACTCTGGTCCCAGGTCCATTTCAAAGGGCTGCCTCACCCCCAAATTGGCCAGGAGGCAATAGAGGACTGAAACAAATGAATCCTAAGTTTCCTTCTAAATGTAATTATGTCACTGCCTCAGACTGGCATTGGCACAGGCACAATCTAAAGCCACATTTGGAAGGGGCATGGCTCCCATACCAAACAGGCCCTTCTATCCCACCAGGAGGCTTGGAATGGACCATAGGACACAGAAGAGTCTGGAAACTGGAGGATAAAAAGGCCAAAGACGCCACAGAAACGGAGGGTCTCAGGCAGTGTGTAGTAGATGGCTGAGTCTTACTGAGCTTGCGCTCTTCACAGGGCACTTGCCAACCGCTGTTTACAAAGTATATCCCTGGCAAATCAAGCCTCTAGGCACTGTCTCTCACCACATACCATGTCCCTCTGTGCTCCTGGCCTGAAATTCACAGTAGTATTTACCGGGAGCACACCTGACCCCCCAAAAGACCTAGATCCAACAGGTGCTAGGGAAGCTGCTGCCAGTTCAGGGGCTGCCTCCCACCCACGTCCAGTGTGACCTCCCAGGCCCAGGAACAGCAGCAGCAGGTCATTAGCCAATCAGGCTCAGCCAAGCCAGCAAGCCTATGAGGAGCCACTGGTATCTATAGAGATCCTACTCCTGCCACTGGTGCCTCCTAGAGGAAGAGGATAACCAGCTCATGCCCCATGGGCCTTCTGAAGGGGAATCTACTGAAGGATGCCATCGCCTCCTACCAATCTGACCAACCAAGGCTGGAAGACTGGCATGGTCCTTGACCATTCTTCAGATTCAAGGGCCCCACCAGGGGCAGACAAGGGCTCCCCAGCCTATCATCCAGAGCTTCACTGACATGTCACATCACCAGTGCCTGAACTGTGGACCATATTGACTCCACTCCAGCCAGAATGCCTGGCTTGGAAGGGGTCTGACCCAGAACTCTGGTGAGACTCTCATGGCAGCCCTGGATACATGCCTGAATTCTCAGGGTCTCTTCTGTGTGAGGTCCCCATGCTGAACAGCATCAGAAGTGGTACCCTTCCTGATTATTCTCAAGTTACATTCCTTGTGTCCAAAGCTCACGGAATGCACTTGACTCTTCTGCCCAGGCCAACCTTAAGTGAGGCTAAAGGTACATCTTGGGCTCCTGCCAGCATGACCAGCATAGGCTCCCTTGTGCATGGTCTGCTGCCCTTCTGCCCCTTTCCTCAAAGGAGCAGGTAGCCTTCCTGCAGGTTCCTCCTGCTTCCACCACCAGCACATCCCTGGTGAGGCTTCTCTGGTCCCCCAGAGAAGTGCATCTGCTAAGTTAGAATCCACTCTGGGCTGTTTCTTCCCCAGCCCTGAGTTCGGCAGATCAGTAGAACCAGAGGCATTCCCAGGACAGGGGGCAGGGAGGAGATTTGGAGCCACGTGCTACTGGGAGAACTCTGAGGGGATGATTGGGGTTTGCCCAGCTATACGAGTCAGGAGTGCCCTGACTCATAGCCTTTTTCTGTGGTGTAAATGCTCTTACTAGGGCCAATTTCAAACTACTATTATATCACTAACCAGAATAGGGAAGCCATACATACAGCTGGTCACCAGGTGCCAGGCACTACTGAGCCACCAAACCCTGTGCTTTCTGGCTAGGCTACTTGCCAGGACCCTATGCTGGACCCTCTCAAAGAGCTTGTACAGCCTTCCCGGGAGCTTGGAAAATGATGGACATCTGTGTTCTCACCAACCCCATAACCCCATTTTACAGATAGGACACTAAGGCCCAAAGAGATAAAATGACCTCTCAGCCTTCCCAAGAGCATTAAAAGGTGGCTTAGGACGGGGAAGAATGCCATGGAACACAGCAGCTGGAAGATTTCCTGGGCCCTTTGGCTTCCCTCCCTTCTGAAGCCTCCCAGAACTACAGGAAGGTGGAAGGTCATGGGAAAGGGGTCAAGGTGGGCCAGGATCTGGCAATTTCCTACCCCTCTCTGTTGGTCCTATCTAATTAATCCTTGAGTCATCTGTTGCTAGCCAGGGGAGAAATTAAATATTAATAATGTCATATTTCCTCATGATTATCCCTTGTTGAGATGGGGCAGAGGGCAGACATGGTCCCCAAAAAACTACAGACACATGCTTGATTAGCCTTTAAAGGATACCCTTGAAAGAGCTAGGGATATAGCTCAGTGGTAGAGCGCTTGCCCCGCATGCCGAAGGCCCTGGGTTCAATCTCCAGAACTGCAAAAACAAAATGAAACAAACTCATAGGATTCCCAGCAGTCAGACTCAAAATGCTGCCTTTTCCTGCCTTCTCACCCACACCTACCCAGACCCAGCTGCTTTAATTAAAACTCCATTTAATCAAAACCCATACATCTCTTGGCCCACCTCTTTTGGCTCCTCATACATCACACAAGCAAGGCTCTCTGTACACATACCCAGATGGTGGCTGTACCCCCACAGAGCCTGCTGGATGGAGGTGCCAGCCAGCTTTCAAGCAGTTCCCTGCACACCTGCTCCTGGGTGTGGCCAAGGGCAAGGATCAGAGCACAGCACAGAGACTCTGCCGATTGCAGAGATTGGGCTCCAGAATCCCAGATTTAGAATCCTCCTTCCACTTTCTGGTAGCAAATGTTTACCAGTTACATACTCTGCAATGCCACGAGGCATCCCAACTGCTGGACCACAGGAAGCCCTGTGTTACCTGCTGCCAACCTGAGGATTCAGGTACTACAGGCCACTCTCTGTCCCCACGGCCTCAGCTCCCATTTCAGATGCGCTGCAAACCCCAATTTCAAAACACCAAAGGAAATTTAAGACTAAGAAAGATAAACAACCATATCAAAACCATGGAGAGGGAGCCAGGGTTGTGGCTCAATGATAGAGCACTTGCCTAGCATGTATGAGGCACTGGGTTAGATTCTCAGCACCGCATATAAATAAATGAACAAAATAAAGGCCCATCAACGTCTAGAAACAATATTAAAAAAACATGGGGAAATTGGTTCATTGCAGAAGAGAGGAAGGTAATGGAGTAATGTAATAATGATTTTTCAAGACATTTCAGATTCTCAAAGAAACAAAGGAGTAGCATCCATAAACAAGAATGAGAATTTACAAATCCACTGGCAGAAATAAGAATAGGAGACTATGAACAAGAAATAACATAAAATCCCAGACATGAAAAAAAAAAAAGGGACTAAAATAAAGAACACACCAGGTGTGATGGGCTTCAGGCATGCAAGCTGTTGAAGGGATAGTTGGGGATCAGCAAGATGGAATACTCACAGAAACCTCATGGAGACAAGGCCTATGAGGAAACAGTAGAGAGACACAGAAGGGAAATTGAGAAGCATCAACATCTGTCTCTCAGGGGCTCAGGAGGAAGATGAAAAGGCAAAACCGAATCACAGCTGGATGGGCAGGCTGACTCCTCGTCTGGACCACAAGCCTTGTGTTGGCTCCGTTGTGACAGTACAAGAGCTTCTCAGAATACCAGGACCCAGGATCCACTGAGCTCCTATTAAATCATGCTAGGCAGGTACCTTTTGTGGCTGCCTGGAACTGAGCAACTACTAGCCTGGGCCTCTCTTCCTTCCCTAGCTCCTTCTGGGGCTGCACAGTGCCTGGCTTCAGATGCCTGGTGCAGGCTGGGTCCCAGGTACCCAGGCAGGTTCCCTGTGGTACACCCTCCCCCACCATCTATGGGTGTGCAACCGCTGCTCTCTGCTCCTGGGGACAGGATGTGGGCAGGAACAGAGAACCAGCTCCCTGTAGCTGGAGGCTGAGGCCTCTCAGAGCAGCCTCCATACCACCGACCACAGGCCAGCCTTGCCCAGAGGGCCACCCAGCCTACCACAGCTTCCTTCTTCCCAGCGGGGACCCAGAATGGTCCCTGCCATCCCCATATGCCCAATCCAGATGCAAGAAAAGTCACAGGTCCCAGTCTCCTTGCCTTAGGTGACCACTTAACTCATTGCAGGCAGCTTCTCCAGACAACAACCCCTCCAAGGGGTCATGCCTCACAGAGGTGTTAAGAGCCCATTCTGTGGTGTAAGCAGCCTAGGTGGTATCCACACCAACTCTATCATGCACTTCCTGTGCCCCGAGCACCAGGTTTCCCCTCTGTGCTGTGGCTCCTCATATGTGCACAGGCTGTGGTGAGATAGCATCATGTGAAAAACCCACCACATATACCTCCCACAAATGGCAGATGACAGTGCTGTATTGCCTAAAGAGGGGACACAGGGCTAGGCATGATGGTGCATGCCTGTAATCCCAGCGGCTCAGGAGGCTGAGATAGGAGGATGGTGAGTTCAAAGCCAGCCTCAGTAATGATGAGGCTGCTAAGAAATTCAGTGAGACAATGTCTCCAAATGAAATACAAAATAGGGCTAAGGATGTGGCTCAGTAGTTGAGTGTCCCTGAGTTCAATCCCTCTTACCAAAAAAAGAGGGGACATGGGGGCTCCAGAGCACGCAACCCCAGTGAGCCTGGAGTGGAATGCTGACAGGGGCCTGTTGAAGGGGCAGTGCTTAGTACACTGAGGACAGAGGGATGTGGACCCATGCTGGGGTCTCTAGGACACGGGTGTGATGATGCAGCCCTGGAGGCTGAAGGGAAAGGGCAGCAGGAGCCAGACCAACCTGAGCATATCCCACCTGAGCCCTGTCCATTGCTCCTTTGCCCTTTAGTGGCTTCCCCCCAGGCTGACTCATGGCTTGCAGAGGCCACTGAGGCTAGGAGCAAAGCTCTTGTAGCAGATGAGCAGAAAACTATCAGCCCTGGGATTCTGGGCAGACAGCACCAGCCTAAGTCCCAGGAAAGGCATCCCTCATCTCTCCTCCAGGTAACAGATGCTGCTAGAAACAGGCTGGTGGAACAGCAGCATCCCCACAGGTGGGAGCCACAGAAGGACAGTACTGTCCCCTGCCCAGCAACTTCAAAAAACAGAAGTCAGTCCTGCAGGAGTAGGTGTAGGCCCAGAAGGATTCCCAGGGGCTTCTCAGAGGAGAGAACTTTGGAGGGACTTGAAAGACAAAGAGGTAAAAGGAAAGAGGTGGGAGATATTCTATCAAAGAAAACAGCCTGTACCCAGCTCAGAAGAATATCTGAAAATATCTGAGAAACAACCAGGCTTGAGGTTGTCCCAGCAGCAAGTCCTGCCTTCCCAGCAAGTCTAAGCTCCTTCACAGGCTGGGGTGAGGAGCAGCGGCTTTTCCCTTCCATCAGGATCCTCTCCAGCCCTTGGCAGGATCTCATAGCTTCCAGGCTGCAGGGGCCAGAAGTCTCAGGTGAACAATCAGTCCCATGGAGGCGGGCTCTTCCCTTCATCCCAGTTCCTTTCTCTCCCCATCTGGATCCAACATGGACCCCAGGGTCCCACCCTGAGACACTGGACTCTCTCTGCTCCCTCCAACCTCCAGACAATTCTCCTTCACTAATTAAGTCTTTCAGGCCAACCTCCACCTTTCTGTGGCCTCCAGTGTGTCCTAGAGTCCAGACCCTTCCCTGGGGAGGGATAGTTGAAACTCCTCCCTTTTGCTGACTCAGCACCTGACTGTGTCAATCTCCTCTCCTCAGTGTCCCCACCATGCACAGCAAAACCACATCTCTCTAAACAGAAAGATAGTAGAATGTATCGGACATTACTTTCCTATGTGCATATATGATGACATGACCAATGTATCTACATCATGTACAACCAGAAGAATGAGAAATTATACTCCATAAATGTATAATATGTCAAAATACATTCCACTGTCATGTATGACTAATGAAAATAAATAAAAAATATCTGTAGGAACAAAACAAACAAAAAACCCATCTCTCTGCCCTTCTCGCCTGTGCTGATCCATTTCTGCCATCCTTCCCTCTGCTCTCTCACACTCACAATCCTCAGAGCTTGGCTTGACAAGACAGATCTCAAAGATACTGACTGAGATGTTGATTCCAGCTCATCTGTGGTGAGATGGCTCAGGATCAGGCAGGTTAGAAGGTGGGAAGAGTCACTGTGGGATTTCACTATTGAGAGTCACCAAGGGGTTGTGGTACCACTCACAGACCCTGAACTTTGCAGGACCCGATATCCTGAAACCACATGCTTGCTCTCAAGCCAACTCTTATCCACACCTATCTCTACCCACAGTGATCTCTTGTGGAGTCTCTTGACACTCCCTACAGGGTTTTCCAGCTTAAGTACAGTCCCCTGACTTGTCCTCTGGTGTGTTCTGACTTCACCCCAGCTCCAGCCAATGCATGTCTTATTTCTTCTCCAGTAGAGCCCCATTGTTAGGAACACTGTCCTTGCTCTACAGATGAGAAAATGGATTCCCAGGGCAGTGACCTTTCCAAGGCCACCAAGTTAGTGAGTCAAGGAGGCAAGATGAAAACCCACTTTAGGGCATCAAAATCTGGTCCTGTGGTGGAGTTGTGGCTAAGTGGTAGAGTGCTCGCCTAGCATATGCAAGGCCCTGGGTTTGCTCCTCAGCACCACAAAAAAATAAATAAATAAAATAAGGATATTGTGTCCAATTACAAGTAAAAAATAAATATTAAAAAAATCTGGTTCATTGGTCACTCTTAAGACCAGTTGTTGCCCTCTTTGGCATCAGCCAAATCCTGTCTTCTATCAAAGGTGTGGGCTGCCCTCAGCCTCCTTCAGGCTATAAGAATGGAGTCCTGGAATCTGTTTATTAGCACTGAGGGGGTTGTGAATGGAGGGGCACTGGCTGGGATTTTCCCAAGGAGCATTAGATTCTGGGAGACTCTAAAAGGCAAGAGCCAAGCTTTGAAGTGCTGACACTATAGCTAGGGGACAAGTACATGAGGAGCTCCTACCACAGATATGCTGGGTCTCAGGATGGGGACCAGCCTACCAAGACAAAGCCTTGGTGCCCCACCCAAGACCTTCAGGACCAAGGCGGCAGCTCTCTGACTCTACCACACACTCCCTGGACCACTGTGTTCCAGAGAGCTTTCTTTCCTCAGGGGCAGGACATCCTGGCTGGGCATGGAGGTGGCATGAAGTTTTCTGGAAGATACAGAGTCTAGGAGTCCTGGGCAAGAGAGGCAGAGCACAGGGCACCAACACCAGGGAAGGCTTGGGCTCCAGGCTTGTGGAGAGTCCAGACTCTGGGGTCAGAAGGTGGGATGCAGGCTTTGGGTGGGGAAGGAGAGTGGGCAAAGGGGGCCAGTAACCCTTCACAAGAGCCAGAACACCGGAGATACCACTGGCTTTCCCTCCCGCGGCGATCCGGCCTCCGGCATCTACCACCCCAGAAAACTCGGTCTTTCCTTCCAGACAGAGAAATTAAGGTCTAGAGCCATGAACGCGAGGATCTCTGCTCCTCTGGTTCACGTTCCCCTCCCCGAGCTCCTGGGCTGTCCTGGGCCAAATCCCTCGAGAGCCGCCACCATTCCCGCCATTCCTACCTTCGCTGAGGGCAGCGGGGCACTCTGCCGGCATTGGTCCGAGGCTCGCGCCCACTCCGAGTCCTCCGGCCTCTCCTGGGTCCCCTGAGCCTGGTTCCCGCCACCACTGTCCACTAGGTGCGTTCGTGCTCTCCCCACCGCGTTTCGAACTGCCCTTTTTCGCCGGGCCCGAGACGTTCGGGATGCTGTCTTTGCTCGCCCGAAGCCCACCGCGGAGTACCAGTGCCCGCTCCGACTCTCCACCTGTTAAAATCCTCTCTGGTCCCTGGGAGTCCGCCCCGTCTCTCTCAGTCCGAACCTCGGCGTCCTCAGCCCAGCTCCAGGTCTGACGCTCCTGGTAGGGTCATCGCCACGCGGTGGGTCGGCCCTCGGCGCCCAGACAAACCGACGGCTGCTCCCCGCCCATTGCCGGCGAGTCCAGACGCCTGCTCCGTACCCCGCCGCTCCTGTCGCCGCACCCTAGCGCCCCTTCCCTTCCCCGCCTACCCCTGCGCACCTTCCGGTCGCTTTGGGGAGGCCAAAAGGATCCGCACACCACACCGACCCCCTTCCGGGCTTAGGACGTGACCTTGCTGGAAGAGTCCCTGCACGGATCATTCCCGTGGCCGCCGCGGGGCAGGGCTCGGACCCGGGCGCTCGCGAACTCTCTCTGAGACGTGGGAAGAGAGGGTCCCAGCGACGAGTATCCTGAACATAGCAGGGTCGCGACCCGAGCTGCCCAGCTCTCCTGGCCAGCAGCCTCCGATGGCCCCACCCTGCAGCTGCCCGCCCTGGACCCCCGGAACCCCGGCCCTGGTACCCCAGCTGACCTGCAGCTCGCGCACCGGCTCCCGCTGTCTTGACGGCCGCTCGGGCTCCGGCTCCGGCCGCGTCGCTCACGGGCGCCCCCTGCAGGCGGCTTCTAGACCCATGCTGCCCCCGCCCCGCGCCGCCGCGTGGGGAAACTAAGGCCCAGAGGCTCACTGGGGTCCCAAGGAGATGCCCCTGGCAGAGCCGGGCCGCAACGTACTTGGAACGCGCTGCATGCCCCGCCGGGGCTCCCCAGCGTGACCCTCATAGGCTCACACCTCCTCCCGCGCCACAAACCCTTCCCCACAGGAGAGTCCTTCTTCCAGCCCTGTGAAGTTTTACGGGGCACCACTGGCATTCCTTCTTTTCCAAGAAGCCCCAGGGCCGCCTCTGCCGCGGCTCTGTGTTCCTTTATCATCAGAGCTGGGCTGCCTTGGTACCCCATGTCACTCCCTTTGCCTCTCCTTAACCCAGACTTTGGGCCAGAGTCCCTCGTTTTCTTACAGCACCTGGCGCGGGATAGGGATCAAACTCCTTGTATGTCATCTCCACTCCCCACTTTTCCAACTACAAAGGGAAGTGGGAGTCACATCTGCCCCACAGACTTGGGATCTCGGTCCCTGGCCTGGGGATTCCCTCTTCTTTCTGCCCTTGTTCTGGATGCTCGGAATTGAGAATGACCTCATGTCCACCCCCAGATGGGCCTGCAAGGGGTTCCACCTTTGATTCTTGCTTGGGTGGATTTGGACTAATCTCTATTTTGTTCACAGAACAAACCCCTCAGACATCCAGGACTTCAGTGGCTAAGGTTTTTCCAGAACCCTTGACTTCTAGACCCTCCTGAGACCAGTGGGGTTTTGGCTAAAGGCTCAGGATGGAGAAGCTTGCTCAGGGCCAGTCTAGACCCCAGGACTGAGGCCAGGATGGAGGAAAGACCTCTCAGGAAGCAGCCCTCTGTCCCGACTGCAGGGAAGAGAAGGTGGGTGGGAATTGGGTATGCCAACACCTGTCTAGTGCAGGAAGACAGAGAAGCCTGAAGAAGCCTGAGGCAGTGACGTTGATTTTGGCTTATTTCTGAGGATAAAGCCTGGCCTCCTGTTCCTATTTTACTTGCCCAGGCCCCTAGTTCTGTGTTCACTAATATCCAGGGATACCCTCGAGATCTCTAAGCAGAGGAGGGCAGGTTGAGATGGGCAGGGACCTGGCCATACTAGAGTTAAATCCAAGACCCCTGAGGGGTAAGGCCTCATGAAACCCTGGGGACACTGCTGATCTCTGCCTTCACCTCTTTCCAACCTCACAGTTGGCCTTATTGAGTTTTCACCCCCAACCCCTGTCCCCCAGCTGTGGTCTTTGCTAAGTCTGCCCCTCTCCTCCTAGAGCCCTTGGTTTCTTTAGTAAAGGAATCTCCCACCCTAACTACTACCACCAGGTGGGGACACTCTCCCTTGGACCAGCTGCTGCGTCTGCTTAGGCACTGTAGCATTCCTATTTGTTTCTACCCTGCCACTCCCTGGAGCTGAGCTAGCATCATCGCATCATGGGGTACTAAATGCTAAGGGAGCTGCCCAGGCAGGGGATCCTCCCCCCAGGCCCTGGGCTCCCTACCCTTGTTTTTCTGGGCTTCCCCCATGAGGTAGAAGTCCTACCACAGTGGGGACACTCTTTCGCACTCCTGTTGGAACAATATTCATTCAAATACTCAACAAACGTTCAAAGAATACTCTGTCTTGAGAGTTGCTCCAAAGGGGCTATGATGCCTCATGAGGCAGAAACTGATATTCAGCCAATTCTGGGGGGCTCTCTTGCTCCCTGGTCCTTGGTGTGGACCTCAGTGTTCTCTGCTGTTCCCATTCTGGGACCCAGCAACCTTCTGCTGGACTTCCCCACTTGTGGTCTGGCCTTGTGCACTGTGGCAATGCCTCCTTCAGGGAGAGAGGACTTCACATCTACTATCCTCAGGATCACAGAATCAAAGCTCTTCTAATTCACCCCTAAGGTTTGGCAGGCAGTGACCTTATCACTGAGCATTGGTGCCCAGAAGTGGGCATGCTGTATCCTGGAGCTGGAGTGGTCAGCAAGGCTTGGCTGGGCTCCAGCTCCAGAGCAAGCTCCACAGGCCCCAGACCCCCATGAAAAGCCAGTGCCAAGAAGGCTGTGAGGAGCCAACCTTGGCCAGGTCCCAGTCCTGGCCAGTTAAGGAGGGAAGAAGCACCACTCCATGGTCTTGTGCATCCATCAGAAACCCTGACCAGGTCTCCAGTGAAGCTGTTGCCCAGAGACAGCACATTCTGACCCATGCAGTTCAGTGGTGGGAGGGGTGGCAGGTAGGAGGGCTGTTCTTACTTTGCTTATCCCACAGGTTCATAGGACTCTTCCTCCTCTGTTGCTGCTATGCCTCCTACACAAGGCCCCCCTACTGGTCTTAACTGGCTGGTCCTTGCTAGTTGTAAGAGCTTTCTTTGGGTGCACCAAGCATTACAGGGGCCTGAGCCTGGGCCATCCCAGGGGAGCTCTAAGAACAAGTGGAACTTAACTCCAAGTGTAGCTGCTCCCCTTAGTGGGTACAGGAATGCCCCTAGTGCCTCCCAGCTTCTATCTCTGGGCCTTGATTTCCCTGCCCAGTCCCAGGCAGGCTTTGAAGGCTATACACGCCCGCCCTTCCTTCCGTCCAGTCCTGGACTCCTCAGGCCAGATGGTGGGGCCAGCTGGGCCCTCTCCTGCTCCAGAATTCCGTTCTCAGACTACCCACCCCCACAGCCCTTTGTTCCTGCCCAGGATGCACCTGGGTGGCCTCTGGCCCTCATTGTTTGCTCTGGGACCAGCAGAGCCACATCAGGGAGCAAGACAGACCAGGACCAGAACCACGCACCATGTAAGTAGCACACTGGGCCAGGGTCCCTGGGAATCAATCAAGCCACCCCAGAGTGTTCACCCAACTTTTCCTCCTGTGATCAGGGGAACTCACAGGGCTTCAGTATATCCTTAGTGTGAAGGAAATCCTGAAAAGACAGTCATACCAGAAGAAACAATCCCAGTCACCTGAACCCTCGGCGGATCCAGGGGCAAAACCTGCCCCCATCCAACTCGGCTGCATGGGAAGATTCTGTCTCATGTCTGCTTCTGACCACTGCGGGACAAAGAGCAATCCACCAGCTGATTTGTGTATTAGTGAAGATGGGAAACAGGTCCTAAAGGGAATGGAGCCCTGTTCTGGCTCCAGTGAGAGGTAACAGCACCCTGCAACCCTTCATGCCAGGGCTTTTCACTCATTACCCCCAGATAGTCCTAAACCACCTCACTGTTCTTCCTACACCCTCAACCCCTGAGACCTACCAAGTCTTCCTCTTCCATGTTAAGAGATGATGCCTGACAAGAGGGTCCCTTCTTGGGGGTCACCACTTCATAGAGGTGGAAACACGACCAGCACTGGTGCCCAACTTGGGGAGGACACTATGTGCAGACTCCTGCTCAGTGCCTATCTCATACAGTAGACTCCTTGATGGGACATGGCACTGCAGTCTCTGCAGAGCCTATCTGCTTCCTGCTGGATGGGTGTCTGTCCCCAGGCATTCTGGTTCTTTCTAGAAGTCAGAGGCCTCCTAGGGATAAGGATCCATCCTTCCAAGCTCTGCTCTGGGTCTGGTGTTTTAAGTCAGGTGGTCAGTTGGTTTTCCATACACCTTTGACCTGCCCTCATGCCCTTTATTCCCTTCTCCTCAGGAAAATTGGCACCCTCTTCTCCTGTACCCTCCCATGTTAGTTCTGGCCTGTGGGGGTCAGAACTCTGAATACCAGCAACTCAGGATCCATTCTTCACCCAAAACAGAACACAGGGCAATGTTTGCACGTTGAGACCCATCATGTCTGGACCTAAGACAACCTGAAATAATCCAAGCCACTGAGACTGTGAGAAGTACTGGTCTCTGATGGTATGGTTGGAGTTGACCATTGGATGCCACCAGGGCCCATGGTGCAGTCATCTGGGTCTAGGATCTTAGCCTCTCAAGTCTGTGGATGAAAAGGCCTTTCTGGATCTCTCCACTCTCACTAGAACCTGTTTTCTTCTTCCCATCCATCAGAGCTTCCCCTCAAAGAGGCTCTGGAACTTTCTCTAAGTCAAGGTGGAAGTGATGCTTCCCCAGTGGTGCAGCCCTGAGGCAGGCAGTATGAGCCTTGGCCTGGCCCTACAGGTACTAGGCAAATAAACTGGGCTATAAAAGGAGCACTTAGGGGTCAGGCTCAGGGTCTGGGTAAGGTATTCCTCCTCTCTGGAGGGGGGAAGCAGCTGTGGGGAAGCATGCTTCCCCCCCCCCGCCCCAGCACAGGTCCAGGTGGGTGGGTCAGCTCTTCCCAATGTGCAGGTGGTAGCCACATGGACTTCTTTGCATGTGACAATGTACAAGGGGACAAGACATTATTGCTGGACTGATTTCAGGGGGTTAAAAATCATTGCATACAAGATACAGAGGGGGCTGGGGATGTAGCTTAGAGGTGAGAGCACTTGTTTAGTATGTATAAGATCCCTGGTGGTTCCATCCCCATAGAGAAAGGGTGGGGGAGAAAGAGATGCTTAATTGCAGGTAGTATCTCCCCCCCTTACCTTTTCTCTGTACTTTTATACACTCCAAAAATCATCTAGAAGATACATTTCTAAAAGACAACCTTTGGGAGCTCCTAATGGCATGTGTCTGGGCTATGCTTGGGGCTTCCATTCTCAGGTATTGAGGGGGGCCCTTCTGTTGTTTCTGGGGTCTTAGCATGTCACAGAACTTGAGTGTCCCAGGGCAGGCTGGAACCTCTGGGTACATCTGCCCCTTCCCTCTTGGGGTTTCAAAGGTTCAGAGACCACATGGCAAGGGACTAGAGGAGGTGCACCCAAGTTCCCCACCATAGCTAGGTTCTTCTCACATGAAGAATGAGTCTGTAGAGCCACTGGGAGAAGCTGA